TGAATCAATATCCAAAAAATCCACTTTCAATATATATATTATAGATTCCCCCACTCACACAAAGAACCCCTCGAAGTTTCCTATATAAATCCACATTATCTGCCCAAACATAGGATCTGCTAATAAAATATATTATATCATAATGCGCCTTGGTCTATACAAACAAATCCAATTTATTTATTCAAACTCACAAACTTATCTTGTGATTTAACATTTTCAATTTAATTAAGAAGAATCATGTTCCTTCTGCTGATAATTTTTAATATATACTTCAAAAGCCACATATTCGTTTTTTTTTTTGTAAAAATATTTGTTATGCTTTCTTATTTGTAGAAAATCCATTGAAATCTCCCATTGAAAAATATTCGATGATTATTTCTATAAAAAAAAGTATTCAGTGACTATTTTCAGTATTTTGAAAATTTGTTTCCGCTCATGCGCTTTACTAGTGAGCTAATTCGGTGAGAATAAATTAAATATGTATGCTATGTGTTAATGAGTTGGATGCCATTAGTTAGTAGTAGTTGTTTAGTTGGTCATCCCTATTTTTTTGGAATCACTTGGCCCTCTTTTATCCAATAATGTAATAAAATAATAATAATTATAATAATTATCCTATTTAAATCTTTGACTTTATTATATCTTATTGTTTTCTTTCATTTTTATTATCGTATTATTAACTTCTCTTTTCTTCTTTTTTTGGTACTGATTTTGATATGTTTAATTACTTGAGTTAAGAGTTTAATGAAAACACTCCTTTTATCTTCATGATAAGATAAAGATAAAATAATTATGTATGTATTACCTTCTCAAATTTCATTTATGCGAAAACATTAGGTATGTTGTTGTTTGTTTATTTATAGTGTAATATAATGGAGATATTTTGCCTCATAATTTCTAAGGTGGATGATAAGATTAGCGATTAGTTAAAAATTTGCAATTTACATCATATATATTTAATTAAGATAAAATCTTTTTGGTCACATAGCAAAAAATTGCACTACTGACCTTCTTTATTCCTATTAATTAATTAATAATGTGAAAGAATATAATATTTTCTCACCTAAAAAAAAGAAGAAGGGAGGAAATATCCCTTTTAATTAATTTATTTTAATTTAAAAGCAAAGATGGATTCTGAATTTAATTTTCTTGTTCTTACCTTTGAATTCAGAGGCGGATGCAATGTTATGACACCACGTTCATCTAAACTCAATATCTTTAATAAGGTACATTAATTTTTTTGTCAAGATATTAGAATTGGAATAAATACAAGCTAAAATCCATAATTTTAAAAATATAATAGGTTCCATATTAAAAATCTTAACGAATAAACTCATAAAATTTAAATACACGCATCTTTCAATTATCATGTTTTAAGCATGGGAGATTTGTTCTAATTTAGTGGAATGGGATAATTCATCAAGAAAGTAGAACCTACCTTTACATTTGAGGTTCTGATATTAGGACTTTTGGGTTTTTCTAAATTTTGATAACATTATATCATACAAATATATAATATTTGGTGTCTAAAATATTGAATTCTATTTAACTCGTAACTTACACGCTACATTCGCCACTATTAAGGATGTAATTAGGGACACGTTCTTCTTGTTGTATAATTGTCTATAATTTGGTCATTCACTGATGAATTAAAGTGACATTTATATTGTGTGGACCAATGTACCATATTTTTTATTTATTTTATAATCGTGGTATTCAGGTCAGCTTTCGAACACTTCGATTAATTTCACGAGATATTTATCATCTCCCATCAACAACGTATAAAAACTAGATAATTATATCTATCAAAACTAAGACAGATGCACAAAATCACCAAATATTTTTTTTATCTACATTAAATTTTAAACCAATGTACTACTTCGAAATAGTAATGTAAAATTCCATTGGGAGCCTTCACCTACCACGGTTTTAAAAAATAATGGATATAAATAACATTATTTTATTGCATGAAATTTTGAAGTACCTTAATCTTGAAGTTAGAAGAAACTTTGAACATTATATATAACCAATTAATTATAGTATATACTACCGACAAAGGATGCAGTGTAGTGAATGAGACTGTTGTCCTTTTAATTAGAGGTCTTGGGTTTGAACCTTGGTATGAAAAAGTCATTGATAAAGATTGGTTTCCCCAAAATAAGACCCCACATGGTACAAATTCAATTATAATCATGTTTCAATACAAATATCAAAGGCCAAATTTGGGAAACCAAGAAAAAAATTAGTGTAGACTAGAAGCAATTGGAGAGTCTGAACATTACTTAAACATAACATTAGTTTTCCTTTTTTGGAAGAGGGGTGAGTGTGTGTGAGAATTCTCCAAATGTCCTTACAAATATTTAGTTTTTAAAAAATATATATTTAAAATTATATTAACATAAAAATCAAAAGAAAAGAAGAAGAAGGAGATGAATGACGTAAATATAATAGATAAATAAATAATTAGGAGGTATATTGAGAACAACCAACATGTAGCTTTTGATTGATTTTGATTTATAAACATTACTTTTGATATTTGTCAAACAGAGTAACTTAAAACATATTATAAATTAGTTTAATCAACTTATAAATTCCACTAAAAACCATCTAATTTTCTTAAGAATTTAATATTAAACTAAAATTGAATAATACACGTCTTGTTCCATCTAAGGTAAGACGTGAAACTAAAAAACTCTATGATTGAATTAAGTCAAGTGATATTGATGGAAGTTTCACACATAACATGTGGGTTTCAATTTTCTACATTAGTATTAATAAAATTATTATTATTTTATGAGAAAAAAAATCGGAAGAAAAAAGAAAACACATTTCCTAGTTTACTACTTTTTTAATATATTCAATGCATCATATTGTATAGTTGTCCATTTAATTGAAATTCCATTATTATGACCCATGCACATCGTCCTTTTGCCCCTTCACTATTATAAATTCGAGTTCGAAAATTATCACCTACCACAAAGTAATGAGTGGATGATAACGAGCTTAAATTCAAAATGTGATGAAAATTATCACCTACCACAAAGTAATGAGTAGATGATAACGAACTTAAATTCAATATGTGATCAAATGGAAAATCACAATGTATGAGTATATACCTTGAACAACTTATTTTGTGTAATTTAGATACGTGATCAAATAAAAATAGAGGTTCGTATTTGGTGTTTTGTGTCATAATAATGTATTGCTAAGTCTTAAAAGTAAATTTTATAAAGTTTGATGGTCGTCAGACTAGCTATGTAGTATGAGACAGAGTGTTGGTTGATCAAAAACTCACAGGTCCAGAGATGGAAGTAACAAAATGAGGATGCACATTGAGATGAATGTGGGCATACTAGGAAATGTATATAGGATAAAGATATTCAAGATAAGGTGGGAGTGACAGATGTGACGATGGGCAAGATAAGGGAGGCGAGAGTGAGATGGTTCAGGCATATGATGAAGAGGAGATATACAAGTGCGGTGAGGAGGTGTGGGAGCTATGTTGACTATAGTGGATATGAGGAGAGATATAGAGGTAGATCGAAGTATTGGGAGATCAAGGTGATTAGATGAGACATGACATATTTGCAGCTTACCGAGTACATGCATGAACCTAGATAGGTAGATTTGGAGGTTGAGGATTAGGATAGAAAGTTAGTAGGTACTCAAACGTTGTCTAATTTGCTTATTAGTATTGTTTTGATTACTCTCCTACTACCTTATTTTACTGGCTTCATTTATCATATTATCTATTATTGTTGTTGTTATTAGCTAGTTCATCATTATTTTTGTTATGACTTCTTTACTAGTATTATATTTGCTTTATATATTCAAGTTTTTATATGTCTTATTTGAACCAAGAATCTATCGAATACAATCGCTCTACGTTTTCAAGATTGAAACAAGATCATGTATAACTACACTAACTATATTATCATAGTTGATCAAATAAAAAATCACAACACTCGACTTGTGATTCACATGGTGTAAATTTAATTAAAAAATCACTAAAACTCGACTTATCTATATACCAATAATTTTTATTTATCATGAAAAATATCTTAGAAAAGTCATGGAGTAGTTACGCAAATCTCTAACCACATGACAGAGCGCACATATGATTGATAATGATATTTATAAATTTTATTTAGACACTCAAACAATAAAATATTTCTATTAAATTTTTGTACATATTATTAAATGTCTATTATATAAATAAATTAATTCGTTAAAATATATTATTTTTAAAATTATATATATTACTTATTAACCTCAATAAACCGTAAAACCCTATACATATTTTAAACTCAAAACATCTCCATAATTATGTAAACAACACAATACAATAATATTCATCTTAATTTATAATTTAACTATGATATTAATCTAGACTATTCTACTCTCATTTTTTAATTTTTCTTTCCCGTATTTTCTACTAAAAAGTTCATATAATTAAGTGTAATCCTATTAAGATTCTAATTAATTACCTCATTCTATTTTCTTTTGAAAAAATTTGACCTTGACTTTTAAATCATATAGTAGTAAAAGTTATATAATGTGAACACCTTTTTACCAGTTCAATAAAAGGGAAAAAATAATAAATGACTCAATAAAAGGGAAAAAATAATAAATGACTCACTATAACTCAATAATTAGCAAAAAATCATGAATATATTTTCCAAGTTGGAAAGAATTGAATTATTATCCATTTTTATATAAAAAGAAATAAATTGAATTTTCAACAACTTTTAAATGTTTTAAAATGGAATTAAATTAAATATAAGGTCACTTTCGGTAAATAAATAAAATTTCTATTTTAATAAGACTCCTAGTCATACCTACCGTTTTATCGACATTAAAGGGCAATATCGTCATTTGAATAAGTGGGCGAAAATTCCACGAAAGTATAGGGACTTAAATATAATTAAAGGAAAAATACAGGGACCAATCATGTTATCTCAGCGTATATAAATAAGCCAATTTGCTGCCTCTCTCAAAACGCTCACGAGAATTCTGTGTTAAACAATTTTTTAGCTTATTGTTTACTCTTTTCTCCTCCAAATTTCTAGGGTTTCTCTCGAAGAATTTTCTGTAAGTATTTTTTTTGGTGAGTTGTGACTTTTGGATGTATGTTGTTGTTGATGATGGATTTGTTTGTGTGATTTGATTGTTTGTTGTTTTGATTTTTGTGTAGGATTTGGAAAGTTTGTGATTCGTTTGGGAAAAGTTGGGTTTGGAACAAACATCAAAATTTTGTATTGTAAGTATCACGATCTTTGTTTCATTTTGAAATGTTTATGAAAACTGTTCAAATTTACGCATTTTTTTTAATCTTATGGATATGATTTATGGTGAATGTTGTTGATATGATTAGATTTTTGTATTTTATGAGTAAGGAATTTGTGTTTTTAAAAATAGATCTGAGTTGTTATAATTGTTTAATGATTGTTTTCCGAATTATTTGTTCTTTTTTGAAGACCTTTTTGGCTATGATTGTCTTGCTTTATGGTGAAGGTTGTTGTTGATATGATTGATTAGCTTTTTGTGTATGAAAATTATGTTATTTCTGTTTTGTTAAAGAAGGATCTGTGATTGTGATGGGAATGATGGTATAGTAAAGGTCATTATTTGATAAATAGGGTCATTTTCTTCAGAATTTAAAACAAAATTATAGTTGGGGAAAGCTTGGGATCTGAGATATATGGCTTTTTTCTTTTGTTATTTTCCTGCTTATTCCTGAAAGATTTTATCTTTATGAAATTGAGAAATTGAGCCACAATTGTTTATTTGTTGTGGAGGCATTCCAAAGATCAAATTTTTCTGGGTAAACAGTAGGACCCACTTTGGCAGCTTTACTTGACCTCCGTATTTTTTTAGGTTAACTTTTTTGAATATATATGTAAGTGAGATTTGATTTGTCAGTTTCCACGGTTACGTGAGTCTGCTCCTAATTGGATGACTTGACTTGTTTCATATTGGAGAACTTCTACAACCAAAAGCTTCTGGTCTGTTTTCCTTATTTTAAAATTCAAAGCAGTAATATTGATAAAGTTTCTGAATCTAAGGCTCTTTTTAACTAATGTTAATCTTAATTGAATGGTTGTTACATGTATATTTGATCATAGGTTCATGAGCCAATGGCTTTGCCATATGGATTATGGTGATGTCCTTTTGAATTGCTCAAAAATTTTCGTAGTTCTTCCTGGGGATAGCTCAGAAAATTCATTCTGCTTATCCCAATTTGGAATGTTAAGCTGCATATTATAATCTTCAGTCTTCTCAATCTTTTTAATGGAAGAGTCACCTTGAGTGGTCTTCTTTAGTTGTACTAATCTCCAGCTCCTATTTATTGGGTGTGTCTGTCTGATCATGACATGAAGCACCCAATTTTTGGAAATAATTTTGTATCTGTAGCATTCACATGGTTACTTTATGGATAGTTGACACAAAGGCTTGTTAAATTGTATTTTTTTCTAGGTATTTTCTGAGTTCTGTAGTTATGTTTTCTTTTGCACATGATTTGGTTCCTGCTAATCCTTATATCACTTGATCTGGTAGCAAGACTGTCTATTTTCATTAATCATCCATCAACTTTAATTATCTCATGAAGGAAACCTTCCCCATCCAAAAGTTTTATCTTTCTGTAGATGGTATATTAATTATCTGTTGTCAAAATCATTGGTTGCCTAAATATTGATGTTTACTTTTCACTATATTAGAATTCTATGGCTGTTATCTGCAGTTCCTTCTTGGGGTTTCAGTTTTCTTATTGCCTAGCTGTGCATCCACTGGATTTAACTTACAAGTTGTTGGCATGTACAGGTGAATGATCTAATGGAGTCAAAAGGTGGTAAAAAGAAGTCTAGTAGTAGTAGTTCCTTATTTTACGAAGCTCCCCTCGGCTACAGCATTGAAGACGTTCGACCAAACGGTGGAGTGAAGAAGTTCAGATCAGCTGCTTACTCCAACGTAAGTATCTGGATCTCATTTGTTTTAAAATTCCATAAGCCATAAAGAATGAGAGGTGAGAATATTGTAACTGACACTTCTCTTTTTTCTACCTTTGTATGCAGTGCGCGCGCAAACCATCCTGATATTTCCTAAACTTCCTTCCTTAAAGCGTCAATAGACGCAACCAAAAAAAAAAACAAAAAAAAAATTTCTTCTTTCAGTTTCTTCTTTTGTCAAGCCCTCACTCCTTTTCTTCCTTCTTTTACTACTTCCTGCTTTTGCACTCATTGCTTTGAACATTTTCCGCTTTAACTTCCTTTGCTGCTGTGAACTTTTTCATAATGGAAATGGACTTGCCAGTTTCTGCCATTGGTTTTGAAGGTTTTGAAAAGAGGCTCGAAATTTCTTTCGTCGAGCCTGGTCTGTTTGCTGATCCTAATGGAAAAGGACTTCGATCTCTCTCAAAGGCACAGTTGGATGAAATTCTCGGACCAGCTGAGTGCACCATTGTTGATAACCTATCAAATGACTATGTTGATTCCTATGTGCTGTCTGAGTCGAGCCTCTTCGTTTATTCTTACAAGATAATCATCAAAACATGTGGCACCACAAAGTTGCTTCTTGCAATTCCTCCCATTCTAAGGTTGGCTGAGACCTTGTCTCTCAAAGTACAAGACGTGAGGTATACCCGTGGGAGCTTCATTTTCCCTGGTGCTCAATCGTTTCCTCACCGCCACTTTTCTGAAGAAGTTGCTGTCCTCGATGGATATTTTGGAAAGCTTGCTGCCGGTAGCAAGGCTGTGATTATGGGCAGTCCCAACAAAACACAGAAATGGCATGTTTACTCTGCCTCAGCTGGGTCTGTTCAGTCTAATGACCCTGTTTACACTCTTGAGATGTGTATGACTGGTTTGGACAGGGAGAAGGCATCTGTCTTCTACAAAACTGAAGAAAGCTCGGCTGCTCACATGACTGTTAGATCTGGCATAAGGAAGATCCTCCCCAAGTCTGAGATATGCGATTTTGAGTTTGAACCCTGTGGTTATTCTATGAATTCTATTGAAGGAGCTGCTGTTTCAACCATTCACATTACCCCTGAGGACGGCTTTAGCTATGCCAGCTTTGAATCTGTTGGATATAATCCTAAAACCATGGAGTTGGGTCCCCTGGTTGAGAGAGTGCTTGCATGTTTTGAGCCAGCTGAGTTCTCTATTGCTCTGCATGCTGATGTTGCTACCAAGTTACTGGAGCGTGTTTGCTCTGTTGATGTCAAGGGCTACTCTCTTGCTGAGTGGAGTCCAGAAGAGTTTGGCGAAGGCGGTTCCATTGTCTACCAGAAGTTCACTAGAACTCCTTACTGTGAATCTCCCAAGTCCGTTCTGAAGGGCTGCTGGAAGGAGGAAGAGAAAGAAGGAAAGGAGTAGTGTTGTCTTGAGGGTCGTATTGTTGTTTTTGTTTCAGTGTCTGTCGTTTGCTCATGTTTTCGTTGTTTCTCAGAATAATGGACTTATACGTCCAAACTTGTGTCTGTCGAATTTGCAACGTCTGTGTGCAAATTCTGAACTAGTCCTGCCTTTTGGTGTTCCACCAGAAGCCTTTATGTGTCTGCATTTTGAATTGTGTCATGTTGTTGGTCTCTGTTCCGTTGCGTCTAATAAAATTGTGTTTGTTATGTGTAATTCTTGGCCTCTCCTTTATTCAAGATTGCAACTGCTTGTTCCTCTCGTTTATGTGCTAGACATAGGTATTATAATGAATTATTTAAAGAACAAAAACTATTTAAAGGAAATAACATAGTCCTATATGGAAGAAGAGGGATAACGCCATTTTTAGCTATGTGATTTTGATGAACCATGTAACAAAATATTTGAAACCTTGAGGTATGTTGAAGCTCCTAATTTACGCGACCGAATGATAGACCGCTTACAACTAAGTGCCTCTATCAAAGTAGAACAAGTCTAATAGTCACAATCCTTAAATTTCCGAGAAACCAAATCAATCTAATTGAGCCATTGCTATGGTAAGTAGGCTTTTTGCATGCATGGAATAGATCAGCGTGTATTCATTATAAATAGGTGTAACTTAATTTCTTTTTCTAGTTTGTTTGTTTGTTTTATTTCTCCTTTTAAGCCGTTTATTAAGAATACATCTTTTCTTTTCGAACAAGACATGTTTAGACCATAAGATCAAACGACATTTTGATACATTCTTCTTATCTTTAATTTAAAATCACAAGATTCAAAAATTCTTTTTACTTTCTTTAGTTTCATGCCAAGTCAAATCCATACAAACAAATTGAAACAAATGGAGTAATTATTAGTATCTCACTTTTCTTTCTTGAAAAAAATAAATGAAATCAAGAAGAAGAAAATAAACAATAACTATTAGTACTAATTAAGTAACCATACGAGAAATCAAATCCTTTCTAGTTTGGCCAAATTAAATTGTGACCAATTATAATATATGACTTGTTCATGGGGTTACGCAGGTTACAATAATTGGAGAGGAATGATCTTGGCATTTTTTTAATTTTGTTTTTTTCCAAAATATGAAACCGTCAATGTGTACTTTTCCCCCCCATTTTCAATTCCAGTATATAAAGACAAGCAATAGTTCTTTTAACTTTAGTTTTCACCCTATATATGGTAGAAGCTGTTGTAAAAATCTTTTGTATAAGTTTTGGCTCAAATTGTGTATATATGCGTTATAAAAAATACACTACCAAAATAATTTTTAACACCATCATGTATTGTCATTCAAAGAAAATCTACACGTAAGCCTTATTAAAATGTAAGATTTGAAAATTGAAAACACGATATGCTAGGGACTAGGGTGTACAAAATCGAATCGAAAATCGAATTAAACCGTAAATTGAGTCAAACCGAAAAAAAACCCGACTAGTGGTTTGGTATTGGAAAAAAAACCCCGATTATATTTGGGTTGGTTTGGTTTTAACAAAAAAAAACCAACTCGAGACCAAACCAACCCGACATTATATGTGTAATTTTAAAATTTTATTTTATACATAAAAATATTTACTTTGATATAATTTTAAAATATTTCTTATACTATTTCATAGTTTTTATCTTTTAATATATTATTTCAAGTTTAAAACTTAAAATTCGGAATGGTCCAATAAAGATTATAGTTCATAGATGTTGATAATTATAATAAAACTTAAATCAAAATCAAATTAATACTAATGCAAAAAGAAAATCAATTCAACACTAAGAATGACAATAATATTGAATATTTATTCTTTAGTTTTACATTGGTTTAGACAATTAAAATACATAATCTAATTTTAATTTTCCTTAAATATTTAGTAATGTAACTAATACTTATTAAACTTATATTTTAGCATGATTTTGTA